AATTGCAGCTGTTTGAATTGCCGAGCCAATTTACAATCAAAATTTAAGGTTCTTTTTTTCAGTTAAGAAAAACCTCTGAGGTTGGAAGGAAATGCTCTGCTCTACATCAATCCACTCACACTGTCCTACAGCACCACGTACACCTGCTGCCATAGCTGTTGTGTGCTTCCATAGGCAAATTTTGCCACAGAAGTGTTTAAGAACTCATCTCCATTCATGGTTGTTTCAAAATATCAGATTTTTCCCTCATTTTTTATCTTCTTATCTTACTTTATTTGCTTTGGGTATCTCAGAAGCATCTCCTTCTGCTATTCATTGCCGAGTGCCCTGCTGCTGTGAGCTCTGCTCTCACGACTGCCCTGGGGTGCTCCACACCTCCCTGTTGTATCCTGCCTAGCAGTGTTACACCTGTGAGACAGCCATTCCATCCGCACAGCACCAGCTGTTCTCATAAAGCATCCATCCTCCTGCAGAGCACCACAGAGCACATTACAGGCAGTTGGACCTTCCATTAGGAGAGACGTGGAGCACGAAGCAGAGAGTACTGGAGAAGCGCACGGGGATGATGCAGCACCAAGCATTTGCCAGCTGACCCCGTGAAGTTTGTGCCAGAGAGGCTCCACAGAGAGGTGCCAGCACCAAAAGAATCAGAGAGGTGCTGACAGACAGCCCCTTAACGTGGGGTTGTCAAGGGAATCGCTCCATGCGTCAGCGAGCATCAGCCTCCATGAAGAACACACAATGTTAGGTGCAGGTTTTTCCCAACCACACACCTTTTTGTACCTTTATGGCATAGTGCTGCACCCTCAGTAAGGAGGAGGCAATGGCTTCTGCACGTGCAGGAAACAATGACAACAAACACTCTTATAGGGCTAGAGCGTCAAGGGGCAAGATCCGACTGAACCTCGTGCAGTTGGTGCCCTTCCCTCCACCACCCCATTTCACTTTGGCTGAGCATCTGGGCCAAGCAGGTGCAGGAGACACCGCCCAGCACCAGCGTACTGCCATTCCTCTGCTTCCAGCTCCGCCAGCAGCTCCAGCACAGCATGAAGGTCGCACTGCAGCCGGGAGGACAGGGTGGAAAGTGTCCTCTGCTCGCCGAGCGCTCATTTGAATTTTTAATGGCTTTGCTTCAGCACTGCTCACACCCTCTCTGCCGTTCGGATCACGTTCCTGTGACACGAGCACCAGCAGAAAAGCCACTCTGTAAGGTGCTTGTTAGCACGGGCAGCACGGTCGGTGCCACGCTATCGGCCGGCCCTGCAGCTCCACCACGGGAACCATCTGCAGCCAGGCCACACCGCTGTGCATTTAAAGGAACCGCTGAAGCGTCGCAGAAAACAAACACATTTGAGAAAATGATGCTCTGCTCATGGATATTCCACGAGCAGAAGAGAATGCGTTTGACAAATAAATTATTTGTTATGAATCCTTTGCTCAGTTCTAGTCAGCACATACAAAAGAAAATAACACAGAAGGTATAATGTTAAATAAGCCTATGATCATCATTTTAATTTTTTTAGACCACTGCACCCGAACGCAGTCATAATTTCCCCGAGTTGCTAAAGATTGATGCCATGAAGTTGCTGGAGGTTTCATCCAGGGGTTTGCTGGGGTTGGAAGAGCTGAACCCCCACCTGTCACCAACCTCCTGGAAGAGCCAGGGCAGGGAGTACGGCCCCACACAGCTCCCACACAGCCCAAGAACTCACTGTGGGCCAAGATGGGGGTTGGAGCTTGATGATCCTTGAGGTCCCTTCCAACCCAAGCCATTCTACAATTCTGTGAGACTCCTGGAATTGCCCTCAGGGCCTGCAAGGCCTGTGCTGCAGTGAAGGCTGCGGGGGGCACACAGGAATGGGTGGGGAGGGGTGGTGGGAAAAGCCAGGGGCTGCCAAAAGGCCTTGGGGGACTCTGATGCCCTCCAGGTGACAGTGGGAATGCAACCAGGCAGTGTGGAAGGAGGCCTGCACAGCAAGCATGGGGCTGAGGGGCTGGAGGTGAGCGTGGGGGACACAGCGGAGAGGGGAAATAAAGAGGTGAGCTCCTCTCAGCTGGCTGCTGGGCCCTGTGAGCTATGAGATCTGTGTTATGGGAAGGTAAACCAGCAAGGAATTGAAAAATGATTGGGAGAAAAAGAAGAAAAAAAAAGATGTAGAAAGCACTTTTTGAATGAAGCACACGGAACAAGGCCCAGCATCTGCCCAGCCCTGGGCACAGACGAAATACTAAGTTTAAGAATAATGAGTCCAAAGTGACCACCACTGCCGACAGCACGCCCCTGCCCAGGCGTATGTCAATAGGGAAATTGCTACCTGCCCTGGCAACCACAGCAGGGGAGCCGGCGCTGGGCCGGGCACCACAGCGCTGCTGCCACACGATGCCGGCCGGGGTCGGGCCGGTTTCGACGGCTGTGAGCAACGTACCGCGGGTGGGGCCCAAGGAAAGCAGCACTGGGTGGAAAACGCGAACCGCCGAGGGCTCGCATCGCCCTGCACGGCGGTTTGGACGCGGTGCCCGAGCACCGCCGGGTACAGCATATCCGACGTACGGGTTGGGAGCCAGCTGCAAGCAGGGCGCGTTCAGCACCGCGAGCAGCCGGGTGAGCCGCGGCACCGCCGGCTCCGGGGCGGCACACGCGGGCTGCACACCCCCCTACACCCCCAAGCTCCCACCGCGCTGCGCAGGGCCGAGCCGGGGGGGCGCCCGCAGCGCCGCTCCGCACGGCGGTGCCCAACCGCGCGTTTTGGGTGAGGCGGGCGCTGCGCTGCGCTGCCAGCGGCGCTGCCGGGGAGTCCGGCGCTGCCCCTGAGGCCCGCAGAGCTCCACGTGTCCCACCGGTGCCTTAACCCCGAAAATACACCTCGGTGGTTACAGAAATTGCGTGCTAACAACCGCTGCTGCTGCGGCGCTCCGCTGCGCCGCTGCTCGCGGGGTGCGGCCCGGGGCCGGGGGCGGGCGGAGCCCCAGAGGGGAACCGAAAGGGATAGAGGGGGAACCGGGGGTGTCGGACGTGCCGGGCCTGAAGCTCCGGGACGGGGGGAGGCCGCGTCGGAGGCTCAAGGGCAAACCATTCCTTCCATAGAATGGAGAGCGGTAACCCAGGGACGGGGTTGGGGAAGGGGGGGAGGCAGGGGGGGGAGGTTGAAAAGTTGTCGTTTTTCTTCTTTACGGAGAAGGGAGTGGAAAAAAATATAATAAATAAACATTGACGATAATATTAACGGTAATAATATTAACAATAATAATAATGATGATGGTCGTGATGATGTAAGCGGCCCGAGCCGAGGCCCATCCGAGGCCGTGCCTTCATCTGCACCCCCCCCGGCTCCCGCCCGCGGTACCGGGACCCCAGCGCGGCCACCCCGACCCAAGGCTGCTGCGGGGAAGCGACACGGAGGCCGGCGCTTCGTGCCCGAACGTACAAATAAACGGAATCGAATAACACGGATAGCGGCGAGAGCCCCCTGAGAGCGCCGGTGGGGCCGCGGGCTGCTCTCGTGCGAGAACCGTCGTCGGAACCCCCCGGCCGCGGGGCGGGGAAGGAGAGCGGGGCCGCCGCTCGGGGCCGATGGAGCGGGCGGATCGCAAACCGGCTGCCCCCGGGCTGCTCTCCCTGCGCGGCGGCGGTGGGTTTGGCAGAGCTCGGCGAGGTGTTCTCCTCCGAGCAGAGCGGTAATTGCCGTAATCCTACTGTATCATTTGGATCATTGCGGTATTGTTGTTTTCTCCCTCTCGTTTCTCGCCCCCTAACACTGCAATAACGCGCTCCGGTGTTAAATTAGCGGGTTGCAGGAGAAGGGGGGAAAAAAAGAGAGGGAGAGACCTCGAATGAATGAAAGTTTGTAAAAAAAAAACAAAAAACAAAAAACAAAAAACAAAAAACAAAAAACAAAAAACAAAAACCCACACAACAAATAAACCAAGAGAGTGGCACGGCAGAGGCGAGCCCGCAGCGCTCAGCACCCCGTGTGCCACCGGGCAGCACCGAGGCGGCCCCGCGGGACCCGCGCTGCGGGCAGACGGCGGCGGGGAGCCCCGGGGCGGTGCGGGGAGAGCCGAGGGCGCTTCTGTGTTCTCTCTTCTGTCTTTCGTTCGTTTCTTTTTAGTTTTGTCGATTTCTCTAGGGGGTTTTCTCCTTTTAAGAGTTGCTTTTGTTATTTTTATATTATTACGTGTTTTCTTAGATGTAGAACCCATGCATTCGTTGCCCCTCGCACCGCGGATGGCAACGGCAGGGCCCGGCCGCCGTCCCGGAGCCCCGTGAGGACACGCGGAGCCCGCACGCACCCACGCGTTCGTTGCTCTTTTTTTTTTTTTTTTCTTTCTCCAATTTGCTTTGATTCGGGGACCGGGAGCCGCGGGACTCTGCCGTCGCTCCGCTCACGGCGGGGAGATGGAGCTGCCCCCGCCCGCCCTCGGGAAGGGCCGCCCAGGTGCGGAGGTGCCACGGGGGGCCCATAGCTGCGTGACGGGGTCGGCTGAGCCCTCCTGTGTGGACGGGAGTGGAAAGGAGGGAAAATGACAAAGCACCGCGGCTCAACGCCGTTCTCGGGCTCTGCCGGCGCCGCAGCGCGCTCCGTCGGCCCCGGGGCCGCCGCTTCTCCCGGCGCAGCCGCACCCCGCGCGTGGGTACCGGGAGCGCCGTGCGGACGCTCCCCGGGGCGCGCCCCCCGCTCCCGGCCCCGCCGGTTCCTAACGCGGCCGTCGGGGCAGGGACGGGGCGGGAGGGGGCAAAACCCGGCGCGGATCTCCCGTCGGGGCGGGGCCGTGCACGGCGCGAGGAGGGTTCCTCCGCACCGCCCCCGACGGCCGCCCCGAGCGGCGCCCGCCCCCACGGCGCGGGGCGGGGAGGGGCGGTGCGGGGCGGGGCGGGGCGGGCGCCGCTCCGGGACGATCCGGGCCGGGCTTTGCGGCGCGCCCCGTGCCGGCGTCCGCCCGGCCTCCGGCGGGAGCCAATCAGGGGGCGGCTGCCCGCACGTGGAGCCGAGGGGACTCAAGAGCGCCGCGGCCGCCGCTCACTCCCCCCGTGACGGGCGTCCCGGCGGCACCGGGGGGCGTCCGCGCCGCCGCCGCCATGAGCGGCCCTTACCCCGAGGAGAGCTGCGCCGAGCGCCCCGACTGCAAGAGCAAATCGCCTACGCTGCTCTCCTCCTACTGCATCGACAGCATCCTGGGCCGCCGCAGCCCCTGCAAGGTGCGGCTGCTGGGCGCAGCTCCCAGCCTGCCCGCGGGGGCCGCCCGCCCAGAGCCCCCCGACGGCGCCGCGCAAGGTGAGCCCCGCGCCGGCCCGAGCGTCCTGACCCGGGTGGGAGCCGGAGGGAGCGGGGCTGCGGCGAGGCGGGGGGGTGCCCGTAGGCTGTCCCGGTACCGCACGGATCCCTCGCGTTCAAAATTGCCCCCCAAAAAAGGGAAAAACGGGAGTTTCTCGGGAGGGTTTACAAAACGCAGAGCGGACGAGCTCCGGAGCGACGGGATAGAAGTAGCCCCGGGGCCGTTGCGGCCCCCGCACCGGGGGCAGCTCCGGGCCGGGCGGGACTCCACGGGCCGGGCTACGCGAAGTGATCTCAGCCCCGCGCTGACCGCGTCTCTCTGTTTCTCCCCCCGCACCCCTCTCCTCGCCGCAGGCTCCCCGAAGAACAGCCCCCCCTTCGAGCCGGCCGAGCTGCACCTGCCCCCCAAGCTGCGGCGGCTGTACGGGCCGGGCGGCGGGCGGCTGCTGCCGTCGGGGCCGCGCGGGGAGCGGCCGGAAGGGCGGCCGGAGGGAGGCGCCGGGGCCGGGGTGGCGGCCGGGGCAGGGGCCGGTCCCGCGCCGTGGGACACGCTGAAGATCAGCCACGCGCCGCAGGTCAGCATCAGCCGCAGCAAGAGCTACCGCGAGAACGCGCCCTTCGCGCCGCCGCCGCCCGCCCGTGACGAACCGGGGAGCGGAGCCCCGCACGTCGAGGAGCGGCCCGGCCCCGCCGCGCCGGCCGCCGGGGAGGAGGAGGAGGACGAGGAGATGCTGGAGGAGGAGGAGGACGAGGAGGAAGAGGAGCTGGAGGAGGACGACGAGGAGGAGCTGCTGGGCGAGGACGGCGGGGGGCTGCTGGAGGAGGCCCGCCGGGGCGCGGGAGCGGCGCCGGGGGCGGAGGGCGGGGGGCTGTCCCCCAAAGAGGAGCTGCTGCTGCCGCCCGAGGACGGCGAGGGCAAGGACGGCGAGGAGAGCGTGTGCCTGTCGGCCGGCAGCGACTCCGAGGAGGGGCTGCTCAAGAGGAAGCAGCGCCGCTACCGCACCACGTTCACCAGCTACCAGCTGGAGGAGCTGGAGAGGGCCTTCCAGAAAACGCACTACCCCGACGTCTTCACCAGGTACAGGCACCGCCGGGGCGGCGCGGGGCGAGGGGACCGAGGCGGGGAGGGAGAGCCCTCGGGGCTATTTTTACGCCGTCGCCGGGCCCGGATCGGGTTCGCGCTCCCCGGGCGGGTCGGAGCGGGGCGGCCCCGCGGGGCGCGGATCAAAGCGCCGCCGGTAAAAATAGCGCCCGGCGGGGCCCCGCCCGGGGCCCCGGGGAAGGGAGGGGGGAACCGGGGGCCGCCCGGCTGGGGGGAAGGCGGGGGGGTACGGACGCGGCCCCGTTTCGCCGCGTCCCGAGGGGGCATCGCGGATTTCTCGTTCGTTTTGTAGGGAGGGCGCGGAGGGTCACGCGGGGGGGATCCGCTGCCGGCATCGCCCCGGGAACGGCGCCGCAGGCGGAGCTGAGCGCTTCGGCGTCGCCCCGTTCGTTTGGGTTTCATTGTAATTTTATGTTACCCGTCCCGGCGAAACGCCGCAGGGCTGCGGGGCCGGGAGAGCTTCGCTAGCGCCGAGGTGGCTCCCGATACGCGCTAATTGCGGGCGGCGGGCGTAGGGCCGGGTGCGGGCGGCTCGGTGCCGGCTCTGACGCGCTGTCCCCGCAGGGAGGAGCTGGCCATGCGGCTCGACCTGACCGAAGCCCGAGTGCAGGTGAGTGAGAGGCGGCCGCGCTCGGCGGGACGGGGCCGGGCCGTCCCCGCGCCCCCGACGGAACCCCCGCGGCCGAGCGGTGAGAAGGAGGGGCCGGCGTCGCCAGCAGGGCTCCGTAAAAGCGCACTTAGCGCTGAGCAAACGGGGCCGTCGGAAGGCGGAGTGCCGGTTGCTTCCCGCCGCCCGCCGAGGAGCCGCTTAACGCCGTCCGATCGCCCATTTTTGATAGCGACGAGCCGCGCGGCTCTAATGGCGGGTGCGATGCCATTAGAGGTGTTTGCGCCCCATTCCAGAGTGCATCGCCCGGCCCGCGCCTCAGCGCCACGGCGACGACAAACACGGGGCGGCCGCTGCCAGCGGCGAACAGATGGCCCCGGCCGCGGCCGCGCGAATCACTCTACAGTTAAAATCGGGCGCTGATAACGCGCCATAAATTCCATATGGCTCATCGGCTACGCGACGGCCCCGCGCATTAGCGGCGCTGAGACGGGCCCCGCGCTGTGTTGACACATCGCTCCATCGTCACACAGCGCCGTGACGGCGGAGCCGCGCGTTCGGCCCGGGGGCACGCGGCGTGGGAAAGTTAAATAGCTCCGTCGGCGTGACTCCCTCCGTCCGAGGGAGGGGCACGGGGAAGGGAATGCGAATTAGCGGAGCCCCTCCGGCGGCGCTCGGCCTTTCTCCGGGCTCCCGCGGGATGCCGCAGGGATCCCATCCGCCCGAGGGAAGCGGCCGCGGGTGGGACGCGAAGGGGCGCCGGGAGCCCCGCCAGCCGCCGCCGCGGCACTTTCCTGCACCGTGCGGGAGCCCCTCGTTCCCTTTCCCCGGCGGTGTGTTCTCCCCGCTGGGCTGCAGCCCGGCTTCGCTCGGGGCTGTTACTTCTGGGGAAGGGGAGAAAAGAGGGAAGCGGCGGCGGTGCCGCGGCGGTGCTCCGTATCGTCTCGTTTTGGACAACGGCTCTGTTTCGTACCTTACGGAGCTGCGTGAAATACGGCCCCGCGGGCGGCCCGGGAGCTCCGTCCGCGCTGCGGGCGCTGCACGAATTCTCTTTCCGTTGCGGCGCTGCGCGGCCACAATTTCGTTCTCCCTTAAACCGAAGGAGAGCGCGCGGCCGCTGCTGCCCGCGAGTGCTTCGTTGCAGCGGAACGCATTCAGCGCCAGTTCGTTCCGTGGGGAAATAATACCGCCGCAGCCGCGGGGCTCGGAGCGGGGCTCGGCCCGGGCCCGGCGCACTGCTAACGCCGCTGTCTCTCTTGGCTTGCAGGTATGGTTCCAGAACCGTAGGGCTAAGTGGCGGAAGAGGGAAAAGGCTGGGGCTCAGACACACCCCCCAGGTTTGCCTTTCCCTGGTCCCCTGTCCGCACCTCACCCCCTCACTCCGTACCTTGATGCTAGTCCTTTCCCTCCTCACCACCCAGCTCTAGACTCCGCCTGGACCGCCGCCGCCGCCGCAGCCGCGGCCGCCGCCTTCCCGGGCCTGCCGCCTCCTCCGCCCGGCTCCGCCGCGCTGCCCCCCGCCGGGACCCCGCTCGGCCTCGGCACCTTCCTGGGCGCGGCCGTGTTCCGGCACCCCGCCTTCATCAGCCCCGCCTTCGGCAGGTACCGGCCCGGCCGCGGCGCCCCTCCGCGGGGCGGAGCGCGGAGCGCGGATCGCGGAGCGGGGTCGCGCCGCGGAGCCCCTCCGAGGGGCCGCTCCGCCGTTCGAATCGGGGGCGCCGCCGATTGGGCGCCGCGCGGGTCACGTGCCGCCGGCCCGGCCGCCGATTGGCCGAGGGCCGCGCGCTCCGCGGGGCCGAGGGACGGCGCGGTGCGTCCGCGCCGTCGGCGCGGCGCTGACGGCGCTCTGTGCTTCCTTCCTTGCAGGCTCTTCTCCACCGTGGCCCCGCTGGGCAGCGCGCCCGGCGCCGCCGCTCTCCTGCGGCAACCGGCGCCGGCGGCGGCCGAGGGCGCGGTGGGCGCGGGGCTGGGGGAGCCGGGCAGCGCCGCCGCCGACCGGCGCGCCTCCAGCATCGCGGCGCTGCGCCTGAAGGCCAAGGAGCACGCGGCGCAGCTGACGCAGCTCAACGTGCTGCCCGGCGGCGGAGCGGGGAAGGAGGTGTGCTGAGCCGCCGGGCGGCCAGGGCGGCCAGGGCGAGCGGAGCCAGACCGAACGGGAGTGTGAATAGTAATCGTAATTAAGAACGAGAATCGCGGGGAGAGGAGAGGAGAGGAGAGAAAAGGAGAGGAAAGGAGAGGAGAGGAGGGCCGGCGGCGGAGCCCCGATAACGTTGTCCCGGCGGCAGCGCCGTGCGCCGCGTTTCCCCCCTCCGTCCGTCTCCGGTGCTAACGCCGAACGAAGAGCGGCGCCGGAGCGCGGCGAACCAAAGGGAACGGCACTGCCGGGGCGCGGGGCCGCGACTCTGTACATAGCGTTGTTATAAAAAAACGGAAAGCAAACCGACGCACTGCAGAGCTTTGTATATTTGAGATGACGATGTTATAAAGGCGTTGCACTCGGAGTCGCGGTGTGCGCGTCTGTGGCTGCGCGGGGCCGCGGGGGCCCGGGAGGCGGCGGCGCGGGGCGCTCCGTGCGCGGCGGGCGTTGCGACGGCGGGCGGGGGGGCGGCGAGGGGCGACCGGGTGTATTGAACAGCGAAGAGGAAAAAAGAGGGAAAAAAAAAAAAAAAAAAGACAAAAAAAAAAAAGGAAAAAAAGAAAAAAACCCAAAAATGAAACCGCACAGCGCCGGAGGCGGCCGCACCCCGCGTTCGGGCGTCTCCGAGCGCCTTTCCCCCCCTTCATTCATTCCTCTTTTATATTTATGTATCCCTCCTTTTTCTTATTTGCTTTTGTATCGTTTACTTTGTAGTAATTGCTCTTTTTTTTTTTTTTAATTATTATTTACTTTTAACGATTTCCTTTTCGTCTTTCATTTTGTTTTGTTTTTACTTTGAATTTTTGCTGTCTATTTTACTTCTCTTTCCTTCGGCGTTACGTTCGGAAGCGGCCGCGGCCGTCGCACCCCGGGGCGGCTCCGCTGGGTTCTCCCGGCTTTCGTGCGAGCCCCGGGCACAGCCCCGCACGCGGGCACACACGCGCACCGCAAACCCCGGCGCTATTGGGGGTCTCAAAAGCCACCACGAGCGCAATAATAACGATAACGATAATACCAATAAAATGTAATGGGGAAAGTCATGTTCGTTCCGTGGGCGTTTTTGGCGGCGCAGCCCGAAACATCGTTTTATTGTTTTGTTGTTGGTGGTGGTGGTGGTGTTTTTTGTTTTTTTTTGCCATGCGGAAAAGGGGTTCGTCACGGAGCCAGCACGCAGTAAGAAACGCCATTCACCGCTCGGACTCCTCGAGCCGAAGCTCTGCTGACGGCAGAATCGCGCTTCTGCAGGCGGCAATTTCGCTAATCCGGGGGTTATTACGGCGGGCCCTCATTAGGATCGCGGCGCTGCCAAGCAATCCCATCACCGCCTGAAAAGAAGTTTACCCCGCGCCGTAGAGGCGGCGGCCGTATTTACCCCGCGCGGTCATTGGCGCACAGCTGCGGCCGCGCACGGAGCCCCGCGCAGCGCTGCGCTCCTCCGAAGTGCGGAGCGCTGAATGGAGCGGCTCCCCTCGCCCCGCCGCGGCCCCGGCGCTTTCTGCTCTCATCCAATTAGCGCGGTGTATTAAGCGGTTTATCATCTCATAGTCAGCTATTGAGAGAAACAAGGCGAACACTTTGCAATAGAGCCTGCTCTCCTTTGACACCCTCAGGTACTTACATATTCCACTGTGCTATGAATAATAGAGGAAGAATAGAGCGCTAATTCCCTCATCAAAGAGCGCCTTGTCTGCTGCTTTGCTCAACAACACCATTCCGATCAAAAGAAAAGCAATAAAGCTTAGCATAACAAAACGAAACCTACTTATTAGCTTAGTGGTTAAATTAATGCAGAGCCGTCGCTATTCAACGCCGAGGTTTGAAAACAGCCTCCAACCACCCCATAATGCTGCCGTCGGGATGGAGGAATTTTAATCTGAGCTGCGAGGCCGCCGCAGATGAGTTAATCTATTAAAGAGCGATGAGGAGGGCTCGCGGGGCCGCGCCATTCAGCGCAGCGAGCGGACGGCTCCGGCCCGGGACGCGGCGGCTCTGCCCCCCCCCACCAGCCCCCCAGCGGCCTCCGCCCGGCCCGAGCGGACGCGGAGCCCCGGGACCCGCCGGCGGCGCGCGGCCCCGGCGCCGCTCGAGGAACCCCGAAACGCCCCGACGGGGGAAAAGGGCCCTTCCCCGCCCGACCCCCCGGCCGCTGCTCCCCTCGGGAGCGTTCCCCGGGCTCTCGTAGAATCTAAACATCCCTAAACTCCCAAATTAACAGGCTCTTCAGCCGTAATTATCCCGGTAGACACAAGTGCCGCGGGGTCAGGGCTGCTTTTCCGAGCCGTTCTGCCCGGCTACCGTCAGGGATATCTGCACGATCCTAATTGGGCCGGGCGCTACGAAACTACGAAAACCCAAACCCGAGTGAAATTACGGCAGCGGTCCGGCAGGGAGCTGCAGCATCCCGGCGTCGCTTTGGGCCGCACGTTCCCAAGAAACCTCTCCGGGAGTCTCCCCGACAGCCCGGATGTCACCTCGAGGGGCTGCGGCCGTGGGGCACGGCACCGGCACGCAAACGGATCGACCGGGCGCCGTTTCTCGCACGCCAGGACCGGGCGTGAGCGGAGTCCGAAGGGTTTGGCCCCAGAGCCGCTCCGGGCATTCGGGCACGCTCCAGCCGCCGTCGCCCCCCCTGGCCCGCAGCACCGCCCAGCGAGCTCGCAGCTCTCGCTCGGGGCCGAACGAAAGCCGTGCAGACGCCGCACAGGCACGCAAGGCTGCAAGTGGGCCCTTCCATCGGCCCCGGGCTGCAGCGATGCGGCCCCCGTGGGGAGCTGCCGACAGTCAGGCAGACCGAGCCCAATGCTTTCACTAGAAAATTTTATTTTTTTTTCCATCAAGTGCTAAGAAAACTTTGTATTTTATACCGTCGACGATTTAAAAGAACGCTTTAATAACCTCACATTAATACATCGCATTGCAAACGTAACGGCAAACAAGAGTACAACGATATTTGGTGTACAAAAGCTCTACCCAAATTTACTCTTTGTTCTTGTCGCGTGTTTGTCACTTTACTAAAAGTAAATGGAAAATACAATTTGTTCATAAAACCTTTAAAACCCCCGATACAGTAACTATTACAGAACAACGACGACGATGCTCCTTCCTTCCCCATTACCGCTTACAGTGCCATCCAAATACACATTTCCCTATCGACAGCTCGCGTTCAGATGCGGAAAGAAGTGACGTGCATTTATTTTCTGCCTATGTACAAAACATGTTTCACTCACGTATGTATCTATACATCCACACAAAACATTTCTAATCTGGCAAAACACCGTGCTTAGAGACGCCCCGTGAAGACACCAGAGACAAGTTGGTCCTCTGTTCTCTGCGCCTCCAGGCTTCAATCGGTCTCTACCTCGTTTTGAAAGGAAAGCATCCCTACCTCGCTCAGAAGGACATTTAAAGGCATTTAGGTTTAGCATTGTTTTTAATTGGTATGTTTATGATCAGGAAGGAGATAAACTGTGAAAAGGCAAAACATTAGTGCTCCTACTGAGACCTCCACTAACCTCTCTTCCTGAGAGCACCTCTACTAAATACCCTGGAGCAAAGTCTAGGATCACTTACATTCCAGCAACTCTCACTGGGAATTATCCAATTAAAGCAGCAATTCCCCCACCCCCTTTTCCCTCATAGGTCTGAACACACAACAAAATACATTGCGAAAATCAACTGCTCCATGTTTTAATAACCCTGGCTTTTCGGTGGAGAAAAGAATCAGAGATAAAAACACCTCGAGCATACCACATCCACGTGGACCATGCATCCCATTTTCATCTTTCATTCTCCCTCCACCAAAGCAAAGATTATTAAAACACTATGGTGCTTTCTGACACAGAGCACTGCTCAGGAGATCCTTATTTTTAAGCGAGTAGTCGGTCCCTCTGCTCCCCCCACGTTCTGTCCATCACTGTCTTTCACTGCTGGACTCTCCCACGGATCTTCCCATGCTGACGGAGAAGAGTTTGCCGAGGTTCACTTCTGAGTAGCCACTCAGGGACAGGCATTTGTCTACTGTGCTCTTCAGTTTCCTGTAGGCCTCGGACACTTCCCTCCTGAGGGACTTCCTCTTTACAAACTCTGACAGGACAAAAATAAAACGAGAGAGGAGAGTTAAATAAAGTGCTTTTGCATTCAATAATATTGTGCATTGTGGTATTTTAACACAAGGAGAAAAGAGGACAAAGTTGTAGCTAGCATCCGAAGTCACCATTCACGGCAAGCTCTTCTGCTGCCTTCCCTACTATGAGGGCTAGTGAGACTAACTGGCTGTGAAGAACCAGGTTCCTTAGCACGGCGAAAACTTCAGGGTCTGACATAGGGTGAAATTCTGCCTACAGCCAAGCCTGGCTTCAGGTCAGTCCAGGAAACCATGACTCCCTCATTCGTGCTGCTGCTGGCATGGCATCGCCTGGGATGAGCCCAACACTGATGCCACGGTCCCCAAACACACCCCTCACACAGTGGCACACAGTGGGTTCCCTAACATGCCCCTAGGTGTGCAGGATGGGAGTTGTGCTGCTCAGCACTATGGGGATGCCCGGCCAGGAAAATTCCATACTGCACTGCCCTAAAATGAAAACACTCAGTATCTCAATGGGGATACATTGGGTTTACCTGATATACAAATGGAGATGCTAATTCCTACAACATATGATCAATAATACCCGTGAAGAAATGTCTGAAGCACAAGACGTTAATTACTTGTGTGTCTGTGTGTGTACAAGCTCACATGCACAGGCCTTAGCAGCAAAACTACGAGTAGTTCTGGTTATATGTTATGCTGTCAGGCAACAGAGACCTCCACTCCCTTTCCAAGAGTTTTTACCGAGCAGCACAGGTTCAGCTGGAAAACCAAACTTGACACCAGTGAGGTTTGTTTGAGGCAAGGTGCGGGGCTGGGAGGAGGGACATGCTGACGGGGTCTGACCATGTGAGGGAGGTAACAAAGCACTTCTGTGCCCAATGGGGACAGAAGACTAAGCTGGGCCTGGGCAAGCAGGCCAGATGACATGTCCAAGGTGATGGGATCATGGGATAACCAACGGGGCAGCCTGTGGAGCCTGTGGCCGCCTCCACCCCCAGCACAGACGGGTGTTTTGCAGAGCCTCAAGGAGGCTGTAAGAGAGCTCAGCAATGAGCTACCAGGGCCAACACAACTGACAGTGTTCTACTGAGGAATGAGTGCCTGCCTCGGTTCTCATGTTGCTCACAATGTTCCACTCTCTGCGCGATACTATGAAATCTCTAAAAATTCAATTAAAATTTCAATTAGAGGTGGCAGTTGAAGTAACTGAGTACGCTGATGGTCAGCACTTTGGTGCGCAGCTTCCATGCACGCTTGTGAGGAAGGTGTGCTGCATGCTACTGTGTTCAGCTTTAGGTGTTTGTATTTACAACTTTGGGCAGTTGGAAGTGAGCTGAAAACACATTCTTGCCATTATTCAAATGTCAGTGGAATGATGCTTATTAGTGGAACTAAGTTTCCCTTATACTGCACCACAAATACAATAAAAACTCTGATTACAAGAACCTGCTCAGTAACAAACTGAAGTCACTACGGCATAAACACCTTTAATGATCCTGAAATTATTTCAACGTAGGGTTTAATTAAACAAACCGTGAAAATTGCAGTAACCAGATCCATAAAAACACCAAACCCACATTGCCACCAATTCAGCACCATCTAGTTCACGTGTTTCCAAAATCAATAATGCGCTCACTGAGTTCATTTGCCACTGCTCACACACCAGCAGAAACCATGGTGTTCGTACCAACAAACTGCAGAGAATATCCTCCTTGTAGCTCAGGAGTTGTGGCTGCCCCATCCCTGGAGGTGCTCCAGGCCAGGTTGCATGGAGCCCTGGGCAGCCTGAGGTGGTGGGGGGCAGCCCTGCCCACGGCAGGGGTTGGGTGGGCTTTGAGGTTTCTTCCAACCTGAGCTCTTTTGACTCTATGAAAACCCAGTTGAGACACTTTGAAGTGTCCTGCAGCTCAGGAGGGACCAAGGTGAGCGCTGTCAATACACAGAAGCAGCTGGCATGTACAGCCAGAGTGGGAAGGCCGCCGATGGCGAGAACAAGGCATGTGACAGGGCAGTGCTGAGAGCACAGGACAACACACACAGCCCCCACGCAGGCCATGCTCAGCCCCAGCCTCTACGCCAGCAAGATTTCCATCTTCCCCCCATCAATCTGAAGCGTAATTACACACGATAACCAGCCTGCTTCAAACACTGCTTAGACTTTCGCACCGGCGAGCTGAGGAGGGTGGCTGAGAAGAAGGGAGGCACACGAGGGGCCTGGCTGAAGTGGCAAGGCCAGCTTTAAGTTTCAATTATAAGACAATGGCAGCCGGATCTCGGCGGCGGGAGGCAGGCGGCAGCGTCCCCGCAGCACGGCCGCACGGTGCATTTGAATGACACGAGTGCCTCTGATGACTGGGGAGAGGAGATTTAAAGAACTGCGGTAATACAGAGCAGGGGAAGATGAGAGAGGACACAGCTCCTGATGTGTTTACCTCCTTTGCTGATGGGATATTGACTTTTCCCACCAGGTTGGTTAGAAAGGGGACTATTTACGCTGCCACACAGCAGAGTAAGAATGACAACCAGCATCACCGTGCTCCTCTTAGTAAAAGACAACTGTGACCGCCGTATATCATGCAGCCAGTCGATACCTTTGAGTCACCATTCCAGCCAACTTAGAGATGCAGATAAAAGCTCCTACTTTCTTCCTAAATGAGAATTTAATCAATAACGTACCTAAGGCCCTCTGAAAACTAAGCTCCACAAACTGACTGAAATTGCTTTTCGGTAGTCTGTCACGTTCTGAGAATAGTTGCCTGTCTATTATTGCCCTATCATTGTTTTAATAATTTCCAAGTTCAGCTGAGAGCCATCTTTTATGACAGCCAATACCGCATATACAGATTATAATAAGCAGAGATATCTACACACATACGGAGCATACAGAAGGCACTGCCGACACAAA